CAACAAAAAAGTAGTTAAGCATTGTGTGTGTACCTATACTCCCAGCTACTCAGGAGACTGAGGTAGGAGTAGCACTTGAGCCCAGGAGTTTGAGGTTGTTGTGAGCTAGACTGACACTATAGCACTCTAGCCTGGGCTGGTTGAGTGAAGTCTCAATTAAAAAAAAAAAAAAAAAAAAGAAAATATCCGGGAATTGTGGCGAGTGCCTGTAGTCCCAGCTACTTGGGACGCTGAGGCAAGAGAATCACTTAAGCCCAAGACTTTGAGGTTGCTGTGAGCTGTGGCACCACAGTACTCTACCAAGGGCAACATAGTGAGACTCTATCTTAAACAAAAAAAAGAAAAAAGAAAATGCCAAAGTTATAGGGACCCTAGAACTCATTAGATTCTCTTATCGTACAGATGAGACAACTGATACCCTAGGAGGTAGAAAGATATAGTCAAGGTCACACAGCCAGTGAATGGCAAAGCAGATCCAAATTGTCTGAAACTAACTTAATTCCAAGGTACTTTCCTCTCTTGACTGGGTGTTACAAACTGTGGCCCATGAGCCAAATCTGACTTGATGTCCTTTTTCTTTTTGAGACCATGTCTCACTTTGTCACCCTAAGAGTATTGTGGTGTCACAGCTCACAGCAACCTTAAACTCTTGGGCTGAAGAGATTCTCTTGCCTCCTCCTCCCAAGTAGCTGGGACTATAGGCGTCTGCCACAATGCCTGGCTATTTTAGAGATGGGGGTCTCACTACTGTTCAGGCTGGTCTCGAACCTGTGAGCTCAGGCAAAACATTTGCCTTGGCCTCCCAGAGTGCTGGGATTACAGGCTTAAGCCACGGTGCCTGGCCTTGATGCCTTTTGTTATATGTCCTGTGAACTCAAAATGGTTTTTGCATTTTCAAAGAGTTGTTTTAAAAAAAAAAAAAAGAAAAGAAAAAAATCTCGATTAAAAAAAAAGAAAAAATCTCTGTGACAGTGATTTTATGGGGCTTACAAAGCTAAAAATATTTACTACACACTCCTTTAGAGAAAAAATTTGCCAATTCTTGCTCTGGACAATAACAATATTCCCAGATTCTGACTCAAAATAGATGGTCAACTTAGAGTGGTTTAACATACTAGGATCACAGATTCCTAGGCTTTCACATCACCTTCCCCCAGCATCAAAATACACACCTGCTCTGCCTTCCTGGCTTTCTCTTTTCCTTGTTTGGGAGGCTCCTTTTCTTTTTTCATTTCTTCTTCTTCATCCTCTTCATTGTCCAGAGTAGCAAATTTATTTTGAGCCTAACAGAGCAAAGACAGTTTAACAAAATGCTCCAATTCCTGAGGTCTGACACCTCCTGATAGTTACTCTCTCACCTTAGCCTTTCCTTTCGACTTCTCTTCCTTTCCCTTTTTGCCCTTGAGCCCAGGCTGTTGTTCCTCAGATACAGCCTGGAGGATATACATACACACAAATTAACTGCCACACTATTCGTTTATATGCATTTCTTAGGAACTCTACTAAGTTAATTATATAGATTTTCCTCAATTTATAATGGGGTTATATCCTGACAAATCCACAGTAAGCTGAAAAAAGATTATCTTAAGTCTAAAGTGCATTTTGTCTATAGACATAACCCCATCATGTGTCAAGCAGTATTATGAATGAGCAACTGTGAGTCAGGCAAGTGCACAATGCGGGTAGGCGGCAGTAGTGCCGGAGGACTTTCTTAAGAGGGCAGATGTTGAGAAAAGATAATGGACATGGGCTTGGAGAAGGTCTAGAGAAGAGGGGAGGAGGAACAAAAAAAACAAAGGTTTCACTATGGACATAGTCAAAATGGATGCCAAGATATCATCAGATTGATCTGAGAGGTATACATGGAAGAGTCCCAGTGGAAGAGCAAAGACCTAAGAGCTTTTGTTTTGTTCTGGTTTAAAGAAACCCAGAGTTTCTTTAAACTCTGAGTTTAAAGGAAGAGTATTATTGTAGATGTCTGACAGTGAAAAGGATATTTTTAGAAGATGACTGACATTATAAGCAATAAATATCTAGAAGAGCTAGTTTAAAAGCAGGAAACGACCACACCATCACCAGCATGTGCTAAATGAGGTGGGACTGACCAACAGAGCCACCACTTTCACCTTATTGATCCGATTCTTCTCTGGTTTGGCAGGCTTAGGAGGATGTTTTTCTTCCTCCTCTTCTTCTTCACTCTGATCCTGAATCAGGGCTGCAAAAACATTACCACCCTAGAGAATGACAAGACCACAGAAGTCAGATGGATGAGCAACGTTGCACGCTTGGTGTCTCTGTTTACCATACAGATGCCTACCTTGGTCTTCTTACCCCCTCGGGGTATTGGGGCAGGTACTGAAATGACAAAGAGAAAAGATGAAATAGGAAAGAGAATTACAGTAACTAGCTCCTCAGTTTAATCCAACTCAAACACCAAGGTATGAGGCATCACTCTTCATGCTCATGGACTCTGGGTTCCCATTTCCCCTCAAGTTATTTACCCTCATCCTCTTCATCACTAGCTGGCACTGACAGTTTCTTAAGACGCTCCATGAGCTCTTTCTCCTCTCCATCGTCATCCACATCCTTCTTCCGCCGGCCTTTTCGGGCATCTCGCTTCTTTTTTTGCTGCTGAAAAGAGTGAGAGAATGAAACCCAGGTCCCTGCTATCTTTTTGTTCTACAGAAAGTTCTCCACCACCCAAGTGAACCAATGAGGGCTGGAGAGGGGCTGTGAATCCCAGATGTTTCCAGGACTGGTCGGCCCTATGACACTAATACCTGTTGTTGCTGCTGTTGCTGCTGCTGCTGTTCCTTCTCCTTGAGCACTTTTTCTTCTTCCTCAGCCTGTTTATCTTCTACTGCCAGCTCTTCAAAGAACTATTAAGCAAGTTAAGAAATAGGTAAATATGGCTGTAAGACCAATCAAGCCCCTTTCTGCCACACATAGGCCCATTGTCCCTCCATTCCACCCTCATCTTTCCTCCAGTCTTTTTTTTTTT